CCCATGTCATGGCTAAATAGCAGGACAGATCGGGTTCTATAGATTTGGATGGCAACTGGTCTACTGCAGAAAGAAAATGGCAACGAACTGCGGGAAAAAATCTGCCTCGTCAGTGATGTATCGAAAAATACATGCTCGCCTAAGAGTGTATCACGCATGGCACATAATTGAACGATTAGTTAGAATGACATCTTCGTTATTACAATTGGTCCTAAAAAAAAAACGGAAATTTCTTGGGAAAGGTATGAATCCTCCCTTTCATCCCCCAGATATGTCTGACTAGGCAGATTTTTTTCCCACAGTAGGTTGTCATTTCTTTCTGCGGTAGACCAGTTGTCATTCATGGCTATAAAACCCGGTCTGTCCTGCTATTTGCCCATAGCTCGGGGAAAAGAAGAGGATTCATACCTTTCCCAAGGGTATTAGTACATAAGTGGACATAATTCCTCAATCGGAGTCGCTATCCATTACTCCACCGTGTCTAGTCATTTGGTTATGTATAATTTTAAAATAAGAAAACAAACTTGCTGAAAATTTTGCAATATTTTTCCCATTGAATTATCCCGCAGTAAGAGTATACAAAGGTGTCCTCAAAGACACATGACCCATTGGATAAAGACGTTGGTTACATCCAGTGACTTGACCCAAAGAGTTGTGAGTTCAATACCATGCAACAGTAGTTGTGAAACTAAAAATATGGAGAGCCGAGTTAAATGGAAATAACTGAGATATCCGGAAGAAGCATGGCACGTGGAACTAGAACAATCTACCTGGGCGGACGGAATGCAGGGTTCGGTTCGAAATTCCAATCACCTGAAGAAGGCCGGAGCGTACGACAGACGAAACGTTGTGAACATGGCAATTAAGAGGAGGATAATTTTGATACAAATGAAATGATTAGAAATGGAAACGCTTTTCCACTTCACAGAAGCAGATGTCAAAGGTAAAGGTGAATTATTCTTCTCTATCGAGTCCTAGGTATGACGATGAACTACATCCTGCAGCAAGGCATCTGATCGGGAGATTGGAGATTTTGAGGAGCGTGGAATTACCTCTCAGTTTTTGTTGATCCCAGGCCTACCCTGACCTGGGGTGGTAGCACCTGTTAAGATCCCAGCAACGGGCAAATAGTGAACCGCCAAACAAAAACAAAAAAAACTATGACAATGTAAATGTACATATTTATAGTAAACATACCAGCAATATATTTTTATATATAAAAATGACCAAAAATACATATTTATATTAAAATGATTAAGAGTATATCTTAAAGCAAAATAACAAGCAAAATATGTTTGTCTGTAGTTGAAAGTATGTAATGGCGTTCAAAATATATTTAGTTGAAACCATAACATTGTGTTCTGATTATATCAATTTCGACAGTAAATAACCCATAGAGGTTGATATGCCGCTAAACAAAATCAACCAGCCTCCTCTATATGAATGTTCATTCTTCATTTTTTATTATGTTTACTAAGAAAAGCAGACAGCATCTCCGATGAATCTTTTTTTCCGTCTTTCCTTGCAATCAAAATAGAATTATCCATTATTTATCCGAGGTAATAGAAGCCCAAGGAGAATTGATTTTAGACCTTTATTGTTAGCAGCCCATGTAACAGAGCTTCAACATATCTCGGAGTGAAATTAGCCGGAAGTAAACAAAAGAGTAAGGGATTTCCTTTGCCCCATACTGCTATGTCAGGCTACCTTATAATCAGGTAGTTAGGCATCTACGGCTGGCCGCGTGCTCACCTGTTAGCTGTTGTCGAGCTATCTGAGGAACCCGGACGAGGCTTTACATCAATTGTCCCTCGTAAATATTAGTGGCAGATACACTGCAACAGACTTTTAAGCGTGCTAAGTATTTTTACTAATCATATCACTCAGATACTTTTAATAGATCCTTTTATATTATTATTAATAATTATCTGAGAAATGTTCTAACAGATATTTGAAAAAATGACCATTACTCAAGGGGAGGGAGAGAGTAAGAGAAGGAGAGAGCAAAGTAGCATTTAATAGGGAGGATGAAAAGTGGAAACTATTTTACAGATTCCTTATTGTATATTTATATGAAACTAAACATTCTTTTCTCGCCTGAATCTATCTTACCTATCTATAAGTCTACCTGTCGATATTTCTGAGATGAGATATTATGTACACTATTTACATTATTCGGACGATACTCATCTTTGTCGCCATATTTATTACAACGTTTCCTCAAGGACACATGACACAGTGGATAAAGGCGTTGCTTAGATCCAGTGACAGGACCCAAAGAGTGTGAGTTCAATACCCGGTTAACGCAGTGGAGAACTTGCAGAAGGGAATTAACATGAGATAACTGACATACCTTAAACATGGCATATGGAACTAGAACAGTCTACCCCAGTGAGCGAAATAAAGGGTTCAGTTCGACATTCCAGCCACCTGAAGAAGGCCGAAGAGTACAACGGCCGAAATGTTGTAATAAATATGGCGTCAAAGATGTGGACAATAGTCTGAATAATATAAATAGTATATAAGTGTACCATTCTCCCTTTCCTTGAATATCGCTGCCACATTTCGTTTCGTGCTCCTGTTATTCATATTTTGTGACCTTGTTAATGACACAAGAGAGGAATTGAGTTAAACAAATATATTAACAAAAACAGTAATACAAACATATACAAACGAGAGTGTTACAGCAAGAATATTCGGTTCGACTGTCAGAGCTGACTGCTGGAAACGTCCATCTCCAAAAGGCAGTACCCGCTCCTATTTATAGCTGGGTGAGTCCATGCGTGTGTGGGAAAATTATCATAACATATATTTAGAGGTCCTTGATGAAATTCAAAGAAATATTTGCTATGTTATTGGCTCTGGCCTGATAACTCGGCTTCACTCATTTTCTTACCGCTGTAAAATAGAGTCCTCACACCTTTTTTTATAAATATTTTAACGGTAATTGTTCTTATGAATCATTCTCTACGGTATGTAGTCTTTATGAATTTAAGCGCAGTACTAGATTGGCGGCAAGGTCCCATAATTTTACAGTTGAAATGGCGAGATGCAGCCGTAAGTTCTATGCCAACAGTTTCTTCTATCACGCTTCTCGTTTATAAATTTTCTTCTGGCCTTTCGCTTCCTAATCAAATTTGTTCTTCGAAAATTTAAATACAATATCAAACGTTATAGTTTCTTTTCTTAAGTCCTGTTTTTTATTGTTTTCTCTCCATAATAGTGTTTTGTTTTCTCATATTATCTCACACTCAGTAACCTCTTGCGTCTTAGTGGCTTTACTACCTTGCAATGAATAACCAAGAAATGATTAAAAAGAACCACAAAAAAGACCAGTCAATGTTTGACTGACATTAAGAGAAAAGTATGTGTGGTCAACAATGTTTATAAAAAGTAAGATAGCGAATGAGAATAAATATGATTATGGTATGATAAAAAGCATTTGCACGGTTATATGTCATTCTAATGGTATTGATTTTGCATCATGACGTAGATAATGAAAATTCTGTTCTTGAGGCGTGGTGCCAATGATACGTCTCTCAACTCAATAACATTTCGGTGAATGCTTGTAGAGTAAACGATGGCAAATTTCTGGAGGTCTACAATCTTGATCTAAATTCCCATTTTTCCTCAGGGCTCTCTATCTTTTTTTTTTTTTTTTTGCTGGTGTTCCAAGGGCACACATTACCACAGGATTTACTGGTGTTCCAAAGGCATACATTACCACAGGAATTAATGGTGTTCCAAGAGCACAAATTATTACAAGAATTACTGGTGTTCCAAGAGCACACATTACCACAGGAATTAATGGTGTTCCAATAGCACACATTACCACAAGAACTTCTGGTGTTCCAAGGGCACACATTACCACAGACATTTCTTCAACAGTCATGTTCCAAACTTATTTTCAGTTTTCGTACCAGTTGACCACCAGCGAGTTTCATGTGTAAGAAAGGCTCTTGAGCTTTGGCTAACAGTTCTAGAGTGGTGTTCTGAAAAAAAGCACTAATCGTTGTACAACTTTAAATTCATGAAAATTCATATTGAAAATAACGGTGTGAAAGATACTAGAAACAATGGTGAATGGATTTCGCCCGATGTATATACCACTGCACAGCAGCATGGGCCCGGTCGTCTTCCTAATACTGCTCAAGAGATCAACAGAACTGTGATCGAGTATCGTTGTTATTATTATTATGAAATATTTTTTAGATGCATTTATTTTATAACGACATGATGGTGATAACCTCGAGGCAGTAATTTTTTTTTGGTTTTTTGTTATTTCCATTTAATTTAACAAAAGACAGCTATTAACAAAACAAAAATGGAAAAGATCTTCACATGAAATGGGCTGTGTTCGTTAGAACTATTTATTAGATTTCCTGGAGAGGTGTTGCACCAGGAATTTTGTTCATTTGGTGTTGAGTTCCTTTCCTTATCAGACCAAAAGCTCCAGCCACAACAGAAACAGTTTTAGTTTCTAAGCGTGACATATTTTTTCTCTTTCCAGATCATTGTATTTGCTTAGTTTTTCAAAAATCTTCGCACATATGTTTTTTGTTACTTGATACGTTCATGTCATTCAGTGTGCAAATTTTTCTTTTCTTTCTTTTCATCTTGTTATAGAAGTGAGATATCGCTATGTTTTATGTTTATTTTATTTGTTGCTTTAAGGTTGTAGCATTTGCTACATTTCTACTTATTTATCTCTTCCATAGTAGTAGCCGAGGTAGTAGTCGTGTGGAAAGTTCAAAGGCCAAATTCTGAATTATTGTAGCCAAAACAATTACAGTATTAGATCTGACATTTGTTGTCATTAAGTGCGAGAAGAAAGAGAACAAATGATTGTGGCATCACCATCAGTATTATTTTTATTATTATTATTAGTAGTAACAATAATTGTAGTCGGCAGTAGTAGTAGTTGTTGAATGAGTGGTAGCAAGCGTAGCAATATATGACTATAAAATTTGCCTTAATATAAAGAAGAGAAAAAAAGCGAATTAAAAAAGAAAAGGGTAGGAAAATTTAGCAGCAGCAGAAAAAGAAGAAGGATAAAAAGTTGACGGGGAGACGGAGGAGAAAATGAGGAGAAAGGGGTAAGAGATGAAAAGAACAGGTGTTGAAGAGGGATGAAGTGAGAGAATATGATAAAGATGAGAGAGGAGGAGCAATAGAACAATGACGTAATCGGCGGTGATATTGAACGACACGAGAGACCGAGGAGAAGGGGGGAAAGAATGTGTCGAAAAAGAAAGACAATAATCTAAATCATAGAATAAGGAGAAATGCGTCGCTGAAGAAGCAGATCAAAACAGGTAAAACAAAAAAAAACGAAGATTTGATAATTGACGTTGAAGACAGAGGAGAAAGAAGGGCAGAATTCGATAGGGAAGAAAGAGGACAGCAAAAGAAAAAAAAATCAAACTATTGATGATGACGACGATGAAGATGATGAGTGTAGTCAATACAAGTAGTAAGCGTTTCAGGTGATGGCGATTTTGTAGCTAATAAAATGAAAGAAGCAGACGAAAAGAAAAAAAAAAGAATTGTAAAAAGTGAATCAATTATGCTGACCTAGTTCTTTACAAATGGCTAATTCCAAAAGAGACAATCAAAGGTAATATTTGAAATGCCAGAGCATTAGGCAATTGACGTTTATCGGTGGCTAAGTACGAAAGAAAAAGAGGAGGAAAACGGACGATTTTAAGACATTCTCCATCTCTTTCTCCCATTGTATTTTAGGCGCATGCGTACAAATGTACACAATTCTTATTTCTACTTTCAGTTTAGTCAATTTAATTTTGCCCATTCTTAATCCTTCTGCATGCATTAAACTAGATATAAGCATAGGTAGAGATGAACAGGCAATATCAACAGACTGGGACAGATAGATAGATATATAGATAGATGAATATATATATATATATATATATATATATATATATATATATATATATATATATATATATATTAGAATGTAATGAGGACGGGATTGATATATAAATGCTAACGTTCACAGCATTAATTCAAAATAGGGTTCAATACCGATAGTAGAGTAATAATTATTTTGGTTCTCACCAGTCGAGGTGCAACTAAATGCTTCGAAACGAAGTTGCATTTTTGTCGTGAGTAAATTGTTTTTGTCTATATGGAAAAAATATAATAAATAATATGCATGTGCGGGTGTGTGTGTGCGGGTGTGTGTGTGTGTGTGCGGGTGTGTGTGTGTGTGTGTGTGTGTGTGTGTGTGTGTGTGTGTGTATAAACCGGGTGTGATGGATAAATTGTCGTCTGAATTACACAGAAACGAAAATAACACTGAAATCTCATTTTAGCAGATATATTTACAAAAATATCACAAAAATATCTTGAAATACATTTTTCAATAAAATCACTATTGTCTTCAACCACGGCCTCCAGAAGACTACGGAATCTCCTGCAACTCTTCAGGACAGTCTCCCTGTTTAAGGTGGTCATGCTGCCATAATCTTTGCCTTCAGTTCATTTTTGGTGTTTCAAAGAGTTTTGACGGTCCTTCGCTCATCTGCGCCCCAGAATAATAATCAAGGGTGTTGCAGTCTAGGGAGTAATGTGGCCAGATGTAGGGGCGGGTCGTCACAGAAATTGTCTGACAATCATGCCTGGATTCTTTTGCTTAGGTGCCACAGTGCAGAGTCCTGTTGATAGACATAGGTTCTTACAGTCGCCACCCACTTGACGCAGGGCGCCACTACGAACTCAAAGCACTTGATGTATGCCTCAGCATTGAGTCTGAAGCATAGTGAGAAGATTAATGGAAGCATGACATCGCCATCAGTAGTGATAACTCCAAACACATTCGTAATCACCATTAGACTCATCCAACTCTTTTCGAATCCTCTAATGCTTTTTCTGATGTTAAAAACATGAAAAGAAGAATCGATCACTCGCTCGTTCAAAATAAACAAGCACACATTTTGAAAAATCTCCAAGTATTTAATATATATAAACATACACGAAAATGAATATAGAAATAATATCTCTACCTATAAAAGACAGGATGTGTGTGTGTGTGTGTGTGTGTATGTGTGTGTATGTGTAACGAAAGCACGTCCGCAATTTTCGACGGACTTGCAACAAAATTTACAGGCACATGCTCCAAGTTAGTGGGAAGGCCAAGACCGACTTTGCATTTCCCAACCCCCATCGATAATAGAAATAATCGATTTTTTCATGCTTCTACGGCAGTTTTCATGTACTTTGCGGTAAATTTCTACTGGTCAGAGGGAGAGCCTATTATAGGCAGGAAGATTCTATTGTCCAGCGTGAGAGCCAACAGCTGATTGACGCGAATGTTAACTAGCATGCCAAAAAAATCGATAGCTGCATTCGTCACAAGTGCAAAAAATTTAAATCTGCATGGTACTTTACTCCACTTGGCTCATTCGCTTGCTTAAACTTAACGTTGATTCTGATTCCGCAGAACTGGGTTGGGTGCGAAAAAGTATTTGTTGTTAACATTCTTTTTTTCATTCGGTTTTTCCAGTTACGAGTCCTTTTTTAAAGCTGATCGTTTTGTGTTCATTTTGTTTAGTTCTTTTTTCGTAACAGATTTAATGTTTAGTATAGAGCTTAGAAAAAATTCGCAGTGTGAGATAGAGAAGAAGTAAGGCATGTAGCAACATCAGCACGGCAAAGGGCACTCCTTTAAAAGGCAAGGAAGGGCAAAAATATTTTAAGTCAAGTGATAGCGATTGCTGTATGAGTCGTACGATTTTTTAATCAAGCATGGGCAACGCCGGGCCATGCTGCTAGTATATATATATATATATATATATATATATATATATATATATATATATATGTATATATATATATATATATATATATATATATATATATGTGTGTGTGTGTGTGTGTGTGTGTGTGTGCGTGTGTGTGCATGTGTACTGACGAAATATAAAGTTGCAATCCTTTAAATGACGTTATCATTTGCAACCTAAGTGCACAATGTGCATGCTAGATGTGTTTATAAAACATTCCGTATAAAGCCAACTTTTGCGGTAATAATATTTTAAGGTAATAACCTTTTGATGTAATAATATTTTAAGGTAATAACCTGTTGAGGTAATAATATTTTAAGGTAAGAACCTTTTGAGGTAATAATATTTTAAGGTAATAACATTTTAAGGTAATAACTGTATCATCTGTTTCCGGATCTTTAGACAGTTGTACATGCGGCTATAAGTTCGTGTGCAAAGAATCGAATGCAAAAAAAGGTAGGGCTCAACACAGACTCGTTTGGTTTTAATTGAGCAGCTTAGAATGGAGCCAGATTTTGAACATCCATTGGAGGGTGGCGTGTCCGTGAAGCTTCAATATTGGCAACTATAGCCAAACGAATCCGCTGAGTCTAGTTTCTGTACAGCGGCATAACACAGACACACAGCATAATCGACGCATTTTATGGCCAGCACCGGCCGCCCGCAAGGCGTTCACAGTATCAGATTATCGCAGCAAGATTATCAACGTGGACAGTGAGGGAGTCATTTACTTCTAGCAGGGCTACGAACACGACTGACGCCTGTTCTATTTCCAAAATCAGCTTTGTTCCCGCCCATCTTTGGCTACGTTGTTAAACAAGGAAGCAGATGAAGCAATGTCATCCCAGGAGCTTTCAAAAGACATTCACCATTCTTTGACTAGATTTTCGGCATCGATGAATGTAGCTCTGGACACTACTTCATAGTTCCATCGTCTCAAAACACTGTTTTTTAACTAATGGTAATGCTAATATTAGACGTTTCCTCATGAGGAAACCTTCTATACTCATTAGAATACCGAAGGTTTATTTATAAGGAAACAGTTAATATATCCAAATTTACTTATTTTTTTACATATATTACCATACTTAAACACATAATACTTACATTCCTGTCTTTTCTACGAATATTTTCATGATAATTGTTTTGATGAATTCTTCGTTATGGTAGTAAAACTTTTTGAATTTAAGCGCAGTACTAGACTGACGTCAAGATCACACTAATTGTCCTGGGCTAAATGTGTCCGTAAGTTCTATGCTGACAGTTTCTTTTCACGCAATTCTCGCTTGTGGAACTCCTTTCTGACTCCATGCTTTCCAACCAACTTTAATCTGCAGAACTTTAAATGCAATGTCAATAGCTATCTATTGTCCTCAGTATTAATCTTTTGTCTTCAAGCTCATTATCAATGTTTCTGTTCCTAATTCTTCCACATTCTGGAACCCCTTATGTCTATGTCGGCAAAGGGGGATTTTAGCGTATTTATTTTTAGATAAACACACAGTAACTGAGAGGACTCGATTATACCCTTGTGTAAATTAATTGAAACAACCGCTTTAGTTTCCTTTCTTTCACCATTTTGTCACATTTTGACCCCTGGAGCGACAACGTGTGATCGATTTCTAATTTTACTGAGATTAGGTCATTTCCAGTGATGTGCAGTGATATGAATCTATTTTCGGAGTGTAGGTTGAAATTTGTTTGGCCTTGAAAAATATTGCGCCATCCGTGATTGCATTAGATTTTTATCACACACGGACACTATTGTCTCGACTGTCGATTAGTTGTCCTATGTTCACTGCGATGCACGTTACTCCAAGGAAGCTTACGAAAACTGTAACGCTGCAACGAACATACTAGCAAGCCTTACCAGTGAAAAAATCAATGTACTAAAGAGAATTTGGGGTAATTCTGCAAGGAATGACTTCGTGGAATGGACATACGAATTACTAATATGTGCACTGGGTCATATTTCATTGGAAGAATGCGAAAAAAAGTAAATAATAACGGAATTATTCGTTTTCTTTCAATTAATTTGCACAAGGGTGTATTTACAGCTTCAATCTATGGATTCTGGCATCGGCATTCCAAAAGTAACTTCTACGAAGATAACGAGAGTTATTTCAAAATGATAGTTGGCAGCAACATATGACGAACTAAATGCATTAAAGTGACTTGCCATAGTTGAAGACTATAGTTACTGAGCGGAGTGCAAGGTCTACTGGACATTACTGGAGAAGCAAGGATGAAATCATTTGCAGATCCTTATAGTGAAAACATAAGGAAGGGTAACGACTCTCTGAGTGAAACAAAAAAAAGCGTCTACTTTTAGTAACAAAATAATTGAAAAGATCGATTTATTAAAGGTGTAACAACAAACCGCAACGAAAGACCGTAAAAAAAATTTAAAGAATTATATACTCTATATTTAACTTTATAATTAATATTTTAAAAGTATATCAGTCATTTACGTGCCATGCGTAATACACGCTTAGGCGATCATGTATCTTTCGATACATAACTGACGAGGCAGATATTTTCCCTTCGTAGGTTGCCATTTCTTTCTGCGTTTGACCAGTTACCATCCAAGACAATAGAACCCGGTATGTCCTGCTATTTACCCATAGCTGGAACGGGGTAAGAAGAAGAGGATTCATACCTTTCCCAAGGCTATTAGAACGTAAGCGAATGTAATACATTCGACTGGAATTCGAGCTCAGCTCTCTGATTCCGAGCCGCTATGTATTACTTCACAGTGATTTGGTAGATGTTACTCCGACATCCAGTGTAATATATATATATATATATATATATATATATATATATATATATATATATATATGTGTGTGTGTGTGTGTGTGTGTGTGTGTGTTTGTGTGTGTGTGTGTGTGTGTGTGTGATGATGATGGGAATGATGTTGATGATGATGA